CAAGCGATTTGAAGGACCCATTGATATTCCTCATTTGCAATAACTTTGTAATATAATTTGAATACAAAGTCAAAGATGTATGGTAAATATATGTTTATATAAAAAAAATGCAACAAATGAATAAAGTTACATGATACATGAGCTATTGCTGGAATCTCAATGTATATAGCATATTTCTTGACCAAATTATGATTGTCTTGAAAAATTTAGAAAGTATGATACCTCATATGACAAGATTCTCGGTACATTTGACGTACTAATGGTTTTTATGAGGAAGCGTTATCCAACTTACGTTATATAAAGTATAGTTGGGCGGTTTATTAGTGGCTCTCACGATTCGTATTCCGAGCTGTTATACCATTATCAACATCAGCATTGTTTGGCTACTCTATAATATATATCAGTTTTTGGGTCAATGCGATCAGCTTCGGTGAGAAAATTATGTAATGTTACATTGATTACACTGTGGTCGGTGGCAACAGAACCTACGCCATTGTAAACTGCACACTAATCTTTATAGAATGGGGATAACGACTAAATTTTATTTGTTTGTCCGTCAGGTAAATTGTTAAAAAATATTAAACACGTATTCGATTTTTACTTTAAATTACGACGATACATTGGGTTAAAATGTCACATGACGTCACGCTTTTGTAAATTTTCTACTATACTGTGACGTCGCAGCCCCCACTCCTCAACTTCAATGCATGTTATTTAAGCCATTTCTTGTTAAAAAAATACATATATTTTTCTATTATCTGACTGACGGACTAAATTGTTTTTTTTCCCATGCACCATCCCTATAGAATCGTTTTTGCTACCTTTTTGTTATAAGTATATGAGCTTGTTAATAATTTCTATTATGCAAAATTACTTTTTATATTAACTTAATAGATGATAATAAGACTCAATGGTTTCTTGTGGCGTTACCTGAGGTCTAACCTTCGTTTCTATAGTCGAGTGAAGTACCTCATTACTTGAGAAAATATGATAATTCAAGAAAGCAGATATTTTTTACCAAATAAACAAGAATTTGAATGAAATAAGAACTTTAAATTACGTAAGAATACTGTAACGGTGTGCCGTACCACCGTTTATTTCATCCTAAGTATCCGCATGCAAACTTTTTGTCTTTGATCTTCAACATCATTTATTTTTATTATACACCTTTCGTAATTTGAAATTTTGAGTAATCCAATGTGCTCTTTATGAATGTTATGTTCGTGAAAATTCAACGAGTTAGAAACATTATAAAATACTTAATTTCAATCAATAGCAATTTGTTGTAAAAAGGTGTTAAAATCCATTTATTATTGCCTGTTTCTGTTATGCTCACGAGTTCGAACTCAAGAAAAATGTATACTATATCAAATCAAATATCATAAAGTTAAATTACTCACCAAAACCGAAGAAAAGGGTTCTTTTGTATTAAATCAAGTTCTTAAGCTTAGTCAGCCTTTTATCTATTTTCCTAAGCACCGAACCCGTCGCAATACTATTGTTATTAGCTATTAACAGTTTACCTTCATTCAAATTATCATGTATTGGTTACAAATATTAGCTTAAGTTTAAACATGTTTTCAATTAATTACTTCTCTCGACAATAGAAACGAGTGTGCGATAATTCCCGCAAGCAATCCGGCGTAAAGGTATATAGATTAATAAATTAATTAATATGTCATTCCTTTGATTGTGAGTAAAACAGTGGCGCAGACGATTGCCATTTGAGTTTTTCCGCGTATGAAGTAGATTGTACGTAAGTATATAATCATAATTAAAATAAGCCTTCATTACGTTCAAGTTATGACAAACAAAACGATTAAAGTAAGTATGTGTTGAGGAAGTTTACCTCGGCTTCCACCATAACATAATCCACATTATGTAATATTATTTTCTAAAAGAACTTTCTTTGCTCAACACTTCAAAATAAGTCATTAAAAGCACAGAAAATTACGATCCTACTCTACATTGTTCGTTCACATTGTGTTTTCATTGTTTATTACCATTTAGAAAATCAAGAGAAACTTTAAAAAACATTTAAAACTTACATGCGTTTCAAATGTATTGTGAACATTTTAAAAGCAAAGATCATAAAATGCAAAGTTATAATGTTATGATAACATTACTTTCATTACATAAGTATGGAATTTAATATTTTTCAAGTCCACCTGTTCCTTTGAAAACACAATGTCTATTTTATTAAAGCGTACGTTGTACGTGTTCGTAAAAATATTGCTTGACTAAATTCAATGAACTCAATTTTGTTTTCTTTCAATTTTCATAACCAACAACCAGCTGCTCATTAAGTGACAGTTACTAAATATTCAGAGTTTTTTACTGCATCTTACTGTTTGGTTAGGTGCGTTTTTTTCCCACAACGCCCAGCACAGCGTGACTTTATGAGTGGTATGAGCTAACGAACAATTATTTCGCAATTGTCGGTCATTAATGCTTGGTAATTAGATTATTTATTAGATTATATGAGCTCGTTAAAAGTCCATAGTGTGTAATTTACAGCATCTCTAGAATGACAATGTAGACTTTATTTGAGATATTATATAAAACCTTTTTATTCATACTATTTAAAATATTTATCAAGTGATATATATTTTGAGAATTATCCGTTGAAAAGCGAAACAATCGAAGCGAGTTATCTTTTAAAATGACCCAAGGCGGCCCGACGATTTTGCTTTCACAAAATTATCGAACTCGGTAAACCTGGAATGAATCAAAATGAAAGCTAAATAAATAGCTGAATCGATGCTTGTTTTTCAATAGAAATGTGCAAATCAACTTTCTTGGTCTGATTATCTAGAATCTAGACGTATTGATTTCCAAGCCTGCAGGCAAACAGGCATTATGAGCGATCTCTCCTTCGATTCCAAAGAGAATTTTTGATCATATCCCATCTATCTCATCCAAAATATTGTTCTAAATTTCATGCCTTTTTGCTATTCGGGTTTTTTATAAACACGCCATTTTTGTGTACATCGAAGCCGTTCAGGTTTCAGGTTCTCTATGGCGATAAACCAAAATCTTTCTAAAACGGTAACCTTTCTTCCACGCAAGCACACAAATTTGATTAAACCATAAAATGTTAAGATTATGACGACAATGATCAATAAAAACTGGTGAGAGGCGTGTTGTTTATATAACTGTTGCGTATCATAAAGGATCATTGTGGGCAGGTGTTCTCTTCCAAGTAAATCTTCATAAAGTAGGTATATGAAGGAAGACGTACTAGTACCTAATAGTATCATTATCTGTGGTCCAAGTAATGTTGCGTTACTAAGTTCATATTACATAATCGACTGAGTGGTGGGGTTTAAATGTGAACTGTAATGCTTATTACTTTTCAATTCAATCTTCCAGTAATATCCTGTCGTCTTGTCGTATTATTCGTCCTAGCGAATAAATTGTCTTGTATTGTATTGTATGTAATAATTTGTTAACTTTATTCCAAATAGATTATACAAAGTAAATCTTCAGACTAGAACACTCACTGTATATCAATTTGATGTAACTTCTTTAAGAATAGAAGAACCAAAGACTATGAAACCTAACAACATAGAAAAGTTTGGTTCGAATTATATGGGAACTTTGAACCGCTCTAATAAATCCGCAAATCGCTAAATAGTAAATACATATAAGGTGGACTCTCTGCCATAGACACTAACTGTGTCTGTAAAGGATTTTAACTCCTCCTAGGCCATGTAACAAACGCTACGGTTTTTGCTGTGGATGGTAAAATTCTTGAATAAAATTAATCTGCCAGTCGACTTAAGACAGAACTTATTGTGTGAACGAGCGCAAACGTAGAATGAAATTAGGTATTAGCTCTTTTCTGTTTTGTTTGGACTTATTCAATATAAAATATATTTTTAAATAAAAAAAATAACGGGAGTTTTGATGGCGATAAATCAAAATGTTAATTATGCAGAAACTAATCCAACTCGGCTTGATAGAACACTGAAAGTATTCAATGGAAGAATTTATTGAAATACTTCGTTTTGACATATGTAACGCGCAACTATTAATGATTCTTACTATATAACTCGTAACATAGTGTATAAATAAAAACAATCAACAATTTGCAACTGAAGATTTTATCCGTATGAACAGATACATAGATGTACGTAATTTATTGATCAGATCACACACAAAACAACTCTTTGCAGAAAAATATTCTCAGTTCTAGGTGCACTTCAAAACAAAATAGTTTAACGTTTAAAGAAATAGGTAGTCAAAGTATATTTTAATACAAGCTGTTTTTGTATGTAAGTACTATATAGTTGTAGATATTGCCAGCAAATAATAAAGACACTTACTATAGAAACATCGGTTGCTATGAGTCGATTTTCACGAATTAGTTCTAGTTCTAGAGGAGTTACAGAGGCGGCACACAACTTTCTTTTCATTTTTTCCAATGATAACGCATTTCGTGTTCGAACGAAACGTTTATTGTACCCGTCGGCTCGTACTCAGTTTCCCTTCATTAGCCCAGATGCCGTGAAATTGAAATTAAGAAGACTTTCTTCATCTGACTCACCGCGGTCAGCGCTCCATGGTGTCGATAATTTTCATAGCGAATCGCAGTTAGCGGTGCGGATATTAATTCTGTGCAATAATAATAAATAACTAAGTGCTCTAAGGGCGAATAAGGTTAATGAAATATCTCCATTTTTTAGAGTACTTTCTAATTTATCTATGTCGTATTATATATCTGTTGTGGTATAGTATGCGCTATATGTTTTTCAGACAAACATGAAACAAATTAACCATTTCGTGTTAAAATTTTATCTTAAAAAAAAAATAGATACAAAAACATTAAACCAAATAATTGCAATATTTATTAAAGACCGTAAAGAGTTTTTATAAGTATTATTAGATTCAGTAGATAGTCTGCTAGTTAACTTTTATTTTTATTTTATAACATAAGATAATGTCATCATTATTTTGCAAGGTTCAAAATAATATAATTTAAAAATTGACGTTTCCAGCTGTCTGCATGGTGGCGGGAGTCGCAGTGTACCCGGCTGCGTGGAGTGAAACGTCAGTGCAAGAGACTTGTGGTCCGACCGCTGATCAATATCATTTAGGTGGGTATATATACAATTAAAAAACCAGCCACATCTGATCCATTTAAGAAATAACAACGTAAACTTTTAAACTGTCGCGACGTTTCGATTAGGTTACGCCGACCGTGGTCACGGGCTGTCACGACAGTCAGATTAACTATCAAAATCTATCGCGTTAATACCTTATACAATATAAAATAACAACGTAATCCTGAATTCAGATGAATTCCAATCACTAAACTCAAACAAAGTCCCTAATTCTTATTTTGATCGTTCCAAGTACCAATATCTTTTTATACCTTACTGTTTATCTATCACTACAATTTCTTTATAGACTGGTTTATAGACTAGGTGTAGCCTTAGTTTGAAGGAATTTAAAGTTGTGGAAACATTTTGCAGGTCGTTGCCACGTCCGGTGGGCGTACATCCTGGCGGTGATCGGTTGTTTGGATGGCATTGTGCTGGCAGCCCTGGCCTTCATTCTGGCCACCAGGCACGTACGTCTACAACCAGATAGTGGGTACCCACCACCATCGCTCTACAAAGGTAAATATATAACAATAGCCGAAACATGACTTTAAGAAAATAAATAGTACTTATCTAAGTACAATCAGTTGAAGTAAGGAAGTGTATGAAATTTAGGAGTGCTTAAATGAATAAAATCTTACATTTTTAGACCTCTAACCTCAGGATCCTTGAGAACCTCATGAACTTTCACTTTACTCTTAAATCCTATTAATATTATAAATGTGAAAATTTCTTTGTTTGGATGTTTGTCCGTCAATCACACTGAACGGATTTTGATGAAATTTGGTATACAGCCTCCAACCTTACCTTGCTATATAAACGTGTAGACAATAGGTTTCTGCGACTTTAAAACGCTCAAATCTTGTATCATAGACTTCTCGATAAGAATAAATGTTGAAAACAGAAACCGTGAAATTAGATAGAGATATTGATCGCATTTTATATAAGCATATATTCCAGAAATGCAGAACTTTATTGAATCTTTTTAACCGATTTCAAAATCCAAAAGGAGGTTATATGTTCGACGGCGGTGTATTTTTTTTATGTATGTTCACCGATATTTTCGTAAATTGTTGACCGATTTCCAAAATTCATTTCTTATTCGACAGCTTGATGGATCGACCTTTTATAACAAAACAAAATACACTTTCCTACAGATATCACCTAAATATTAAGATGTTAGGTTATGACACGGCCCATTTCACCTAAAAAACAAAAGATTGCGTAGTTCGAATTCATTCAAAATCTAAAAGGAGGATTTTCTATGTTCAACGTGTATGTGTACTTTACTCTTTGATGTATATTTTTTTATGAAAGTCATAGGTAGTAGGTATGAATGAGTAAAGTATATACCTATATAGGGGGTTGGTATTTTCTTCAATTATTTAGCTCCCGTATGAATCAGTCCAATAGTTTCGCGGCCTATCCAGTACAAACAAGCAATCAAATTTTTGCTCTTTAAAATATATTATTTGAAAATTTTTTAGTATATATTATTGGAAAAAATTATGTCGAGCAAACAAACAAAATCTCTTATTCTAAAACCGTCACTATGTTAAATATTTTTGTTTACATAGTTGTTTTAGTGTTACCTATTATAAAAAATGTAATTATCACTAAAAAGCATGAAATAAAAATTTTCATAAAAAATAAAACCGTAGGCGGAGGTTTCTTGTAGGTTATTAGTTAAATGATAGGCCCTACTTCAATAGCATTTTCTTGAATCCGTCGCTTTAAAGATAAATATTATTTATTACTTTATTAAAGTTTGAAGTCGACTCTACCTTTTTTAAAAAAAAAATATATAGTAATATGTTGTGTTAATCCAAATTACACAGTGATTGATGCTTAATTAAAACCTACATGGACATACTGTAAAATATCCTATTTATAATAACTTTAGAAGCATGACAGAAAAAGAGAAAAATCTGATCCGGTTCTCATTACGCAAGGGACTCAACCGACGAGGTTTTCCAACCCAATTGCTGTGCTGTGACGCACTGTGAGCAACAAAAGTGAAGGGAACGCTACACTCCAACGAAACTGCGATCAGTTCACAAAGGTCCCTATGCAAATGATGTAGATGTCATATTGGATTTGTTAGTGTTGCCGGTGATGTGCTGTCTACTGTACATTTTCACTGATTCGTCACAAGAGTGAATTTGAAAATTAATAGGGTATATCATATTCATATTCAATAAATATTTTATTTATGACCGAGCTATTTTCCCGCGACTGCTCCCGCCTAAATTGAAGCCGCCTAAATACTTGGGGTATTATGTATTTATTTTCCCTTAAGTGTTTTTTTTTAACAGATATAGTTAGGTAGTTTCTAAGCTAGGTAGGTAATAAATATGAAAATATCCAATTTATGATATTTATCCGATATATATCGGATATATACACGGATATATACGGACATATAATTACAGGGTGGCAAGACGGTAAAATGCCACGGGCCCCCAGCTGGAAGAGGCCCCCGGTCAGAAGAGACTCCCTACTCCTGACATTTATTATTACACAATTAGTAAAATAAAATAGAATATCCGATGAATTTGCCACGGGCCTCAAACGGTATAGTTACACCCACGTTACACCACTGGATATTTATCATGCATATGAAAAGCTACGTTTTTTAAGCTGCCTTTAATTAATTTATAGATTGAGTTTGATATATTTAATATTTGTTTATTTATTATAAAGTTATTAAAAATTAGTATGCGTGCGAGGATTTCCAGTAACGTATATGGGAATACCGGACTTTCACCGTTTAGGTAAACATAAGCATTAAATTTTAAGAAAAATTAAGAACCAACCGTTCGCAGTTCGAGTTCATATTACAAGGAAAACCGGAAATTTCTTACTAGAACTTTTGGGCAACATTGCATCGGGTTACTATTCCTAGCTGAGACTCAATACTCAAAAGTAATAAAAAATATTATAAATATCAATTGAATATAATCATGATATAACCAACGTATATATCAAGATATATATCGATTGCTATTTGTCGGGGAACCCTGATTAGTAAATGTTCTTATAAAATTTTAATAGAGTACAATTTAAACGTGGTGAATCTAACCATGTAACTAATTTATTTTGGATTAAATTCGAAAATCTAAAATGTTTGTCCGATCGAAACGTAATATTATATTCATATAGGTAACCATTTATATGTAGGTAATATGGTTAGGTATACCATGAAATACGATCATGTCGCCATCGATGACAATGACATATTCAAAAGAATTTGAAACTCACGATTTGTGTCATCGGAGAGTTAGCAAAACAAGCTAAGTGGGCAGATCATGAATACGTTTACGGGTGGATATTTGACACACTTTTAGATCATGGGATTGTCAACTGTATTGCATTTGCAGTAAAGTATCAGTTACGAGTGTTGATGATACTAATTGCTTCCATGAATACTTGAATACCTAGTTGGTTGTTTGCATTCTTTGCGCATATTTTTCATTTATGAGAATATTCTCGAATATCAATCTTATTACAACTACTTAAAGATTCATATCGTAGCGTACAAAATAGTGCGTTTTAAACTTCCATATTAACTACTTATTGTAATGTGTGCCGCGCCCGCGCCGCGTCATATTCCTTTGTCAGCAAAACCCAGAACTTATTTTTTTTTATTCTGTTGCAGGAGAAGTCAACAATGCCTACGTGACAGATGCGACATCTGTGTCTGGTTCAAGGAAATCTTTAGCTCTTCAACCAGTTTTGATAATGCATCCACACGCACCTATGGATATGGACACTTATTCACATTATTCCGGAAGAACAGCAAGATCGAAACATGGTATCTATGCAAACACCATGCATAATTATCAATTGTAATATTGTTGAATGACCCAAATCTCAACAAGTTAAAGCTGGTGTCGTAGTATTGCTACTTGCCAATAGATGGCGCTGATTGTAACTTCTGTATAAAGAACTAGATGGCGCTACTAAAATATTTATATTATGATTACCTATCAAAATATAAATTCGAAAATCGCGAATTAATAAGTACATTAAGTTTTACAGTACCTATCTATAATAATAGATATTGTGTAAATATTGTTAAGATCGTTAATTATTTACCTATCATGGTACTTACCTTTTGTAGATTTGAATTCAAGCATATCGACTTAACACTATGTGTAAGTTTAGTAAAATAAGGAATAAATATAGAGGATTATTACCACCACTAACTGCTGTTCACAAAATGTAATGTGTTCAACCAATAAACAACGAATAGTGAAAGATTATATGTAATTAAAATGAATTTAAATAATATGAAATGCTTAGGACATTTTTTCATTTTTATAATTATAAATTAAAATATTTTTAGTCAAAACCTTATGTTTTATTTATCTCCACCATCATAATATTATTAATATACACGAAAAGAACTGAGTATTTTAAATGATTTTCCATAACGAAGTCTCCATAAATCCATTGTTTTCGATAGAGCTTTCTTTTGGTAAATCATATTTGGCCAGACGAGTTAAATGTTTACGCTGTTTATCTGTCAAGCCGTGTCTCCCTGGGTCTCCTATTAATACCTGCAGTGTGAAAAAATGCCTGATTATGAAAACTATTAGATTTTCGATTTTGAACAAAATGTAATGATTGATAAATCAATCAATCAAGATTGATAAAACTACTTTTATCGGACATAAACGCGCTAAGTGAACACGGAACCTGTAAATGATCCGAAACGCTTTAAAATTATCACATATAAACGCGTTTTTATCCGTTTAAAAGTATTATTATGAATAGTGTACGTGTACGAAACAAATAAGCAGACAGAAAACATATTAAAAACGATCACAACAAAATAACAAAAATAAAAACACACCCTGTAATAACTACGATTTACGAATTCAAAAAACTTTTGAAATTTGATGCGAGATTTGAATTTGAAATGTAGCGCATTATTGTTGGTTGCAGCAAATAGATTAAGGTCGACAAATCAAAAATACTTATCCGATCGAAACGTGTCACTACATAGTATAAAACAAAGTCGCTTTCTCTGTCCCTATATTCCTATGCATACTTAACCCTCTATTGCATGAATTATTAAATTTAATAGAAAAAAAATATTTTTATGTTTTAATGTGCTTTATTATGGCTTATAAGACAAAATATAAAGTGAAAAGAAAAATAAGTTTATTATTTTGGAAAAAAAAAACAGAAGCCATTTTTGGCTTCCGATGCACGACAAATAAACATCATACAAGGTAAAATTCTCTAAAACAGTTTCTTTTCTCATTCAAGTATAGAAAAACATTACATTTCTCACATTTTATATGGGAACGCAAAGAACAATCATTCTGACATAATTGACGAGTCCTTTGATGAATCGGAAAATGGTCAATTTTGTCTGAACGTACTGAATTTAGAGGTAGCTCTTGCACTTTTGCAGAGATTTTTCGTTGTTTACGTTAAAAAAAAGGACTCTGAATGCATGGGAAGCCATTTTAGGCTCAAATTTACTTTATCATAATGCATACGAAGCCAAAAATGGCTCCCGTAGAAAATAATGAAAATGAAGTATAAAGAACAAATATTTTGAATAAAGTGTAAGAGGCATCAAAAACAGAGGCTTTGTAGAACATTATTTATATTTTTGATTATTAATATTCTTGTCTTTTCTATTTAATTTTCACTAATAAATTTGCAGTAAATTTCTCTAAGAACGACTTTGCGTACGCACCGGAAAAAAAGTCAGGTTATAATGACATACGACTTTAGCCATAGACAATAAAAATTGTGTTTCGTTTCAGTTTGAACTCCCTAATATTACTGTGATAAATTTTAAAATTTTTGTTTATAATTAGGGTAGAAAAAAATTACTAAAGTTTAGCAGCCAAAAATGGCTCTGTATGCAATAGAGGGTTAAAAAATTCATGAAGTCTCCGTTTTTATGATTTATAAATTTAAGAGATAATCTAAGTAGCAGGACTTAGATATAACGACACTAACCGTTTTACCATCAGAACTGAGGCCCCTAAGCCAATCAAACAGCAGACTCGCGAAATCCTCATCATAGAACATGTCTCCTATGAGAATCGTATCAAAGTCTCTGCAGTCGCTGCCTATGAAGTTCCTTACACTAGTTTCTATAGATACTTTGTTTAAATTTGCGTTGATTAATGACGCGGTAGTGGCACCTGTTAAAGAAAACAATAAAGGGTATGAACTCTTTGATCGTTGGTAAAGCACGTTTGTTATATCGGAGCCCTTTAGATGTTTATTTTTTTCTGCTTTTTTTGGTATTTGTTGTTATAGTGGTAAAAGAAATATCTACATCATCTGTGATATTTCAATTGTCTAACTATCACGGTCCGTGAGATACAGCCCGGGACGGACAGCGAAGTCTTAGTAACAGGGTCCCATTTTACCCTATGAATACGGAACCCTAATGAAAACAACAATTACTTACAAATAACATTAGTCTCCAGTCTCCTGTCACTGGTAAATCATATGGTCCTTATATCAATCAATTTGTAATTTATACAGATTAGCCAAGAATCAAGAGTATAAATCTCTGAGTATAAACAGAGATTTATACTCTTGATTGGTTACACTAGCACGAGAGTAGGCTAGTGTACCCAATCAAGTGTAGAGAACGGCACAATTGCAATGTCGATCGGTTGCGATTGCGTTAGAGAGTAAAGAATTGCTAGTATAGGTACAACATTAAATCTTAAGAGCAAAAATTTCAATGTTTGCATTGAAGCTTCGAATATGTTCCAAACTACTGGATTGATTTAAAAAATTCTTCCACTTACGTGAAACCACGGTGGGAAACAAGATTTTCCGATGCGGGTAACATAGGTCACAGGAAAGCTAACTAGTTGGTAATATACAGTTAAGAAAAAATAATGTACGATATATTTCATAATTTCAACAGACTCTCCTAACAGGGGATGTAGCTCAGTGGTAGAGCGTTCGCTTTGCATGTGAAAGGCCCCGGGTTCGATCCCCGGCATCTCCAAACGGTTGTCTTTTTTTATTATGTAAGTTCCGCTAAATTTTACATTCATAAAAACTTACATTCGTCTATATCGTTTGCTAGAACATAGTCAGCATTCATTTTTGCAGCAGCAATGGCTCCAGCGCCGCAGCCACAACCAACATCGATGATGCGATGATTTTCCACTAAAGTTTTATTGTCGAGAATATACCTGTGTCGGAAAGACATTTATGAAATGTTAGTGATAATGCTATAATGTGTATTATTTATATTATAATAAATTATTATTACCAGCAAAAGCAATTTCGAAACAGAAACGAAAGGTTAATATTTGGTTAAATAGTGCCACCTGTTTCTTTCTACGTACAGAAACATCATCTGTCATTACAAGATTAGCCAACAGATGTCGCTCCAAAGAAAATTATTGCGATTTTCATCAGCGAACACAGAAAAGGTTAACGCTTGGAAGAATTCATTAATTACTTTAAATTTTATTTGATCTGAGTTGAAATGAGAATAAAAACATTTAATTCACCAATACAGGGCTATCTGTTATCATATTGAGAAATCAACTATTTACGTAGTAGTACGTAGTACATAACAAAACATTTCCGAACTAGGTAGGTACACTTTATAATTCATTTACATGTTATAAAATAGTATAGGTCTTAAAACACTCCCTTGTGATACTCCATTTTAATCACTATACTTTGATCTCATTTTTATTCATAAGAAGACTAAAAATGTCCTCATACTAATCGATTCAGTAAAAACTAAATTTCTGTACAAAGAACAGTATTGCAATTATTATTGTTTACAACACAAAACACGTCTTTTTGTGTTCTTTTGTTTACCCTTACTAATTCTCATTATATTTTGTATTTTTTTTAGACTTTCACACAAAATAAATTATCTATCAAAAACATACCATGCGTACGGGTAACAAAGCTAGCTCATTCTATGATTCTATACTTCGTCATCGCATTTCTTAACATTTTTCCAGCTTTTACTTCTTTATACCCATTTAAAATTATTGAGGTATTGTTGAGTAATAGGTATCTGAGAGCAAAACAATCTAATCCAGTTAGTACCGATTCTGGGAAAACTGCCGAGCACAAACCTATGTATCTAATCTAGAATACACCCACGAGAGTAGGGGTGGTTTCTGAGAAGTGTATCTGCAATAGAGGCTTACACCCTAACGCAAGAAGATCCATAGCTAGCAATTTTTGAATTGGTAGCTTTATACCTATAGCTCTTTTGAACAAAATGTAAATGTTCTAAACTGGGTCAAGGATTTCGATGACTCAAATATTTTCATCATGTAATTAGGACTTATCTGGTAAAAATTTTACCCAGACAGTATGCTTGCTATATCTAAACTCACAAATCAGGAAATATTGTACTATAAATATTGCTTTTAGTTTTAAAACCGAAAAATTATAATCTCGATGAGCCAGTTTTAGTTTTTAAAAGACATATTTTTTTAATGTAGTTGACATTAAAAAAAAATTAAATTATCTCGATAAATTAAAAGCTTTAAACAAAAAATAATAATCACCAGAATCGGTTTATTAGTGACGAAAACATCAAACGAATTGAGAACCCCTTCTTATTTTGAAGTCGTTTAAAAATTAATAAAACTTAAGTCACAGAAATTCATCTTAAAATAACACTATTAATATCACTACGTAGTGTACATTAAAGTTATGCCCTTTACTATCGAACAATAGATAGTGTCATTTAGTGAGTAATAAATCCTCTTTCCTCACTAGATTCACAAAATTATTAGCGTATGCCAAAGTTGAAGCGACAAATTTTATGTAGGAAAGCCTTTAGCTCTGCAGCCGCGTTTCTCGGAAAAGAGATCAGAGAATTATTTCAGAAGTTTACGTTTCTGGTGAAAAACACCGCCTGTTTTATTTCAATACCTTTCAAGACGGATGTAAATCGAATAGTTTATGGCTTATTATCTTTTTCTTTATGAATATTTTATTTTATTTTCAATTCTAAATATCGGTTCAGTTATTATTTTCAAATTTTTGTAGATTATTTTTTTTTATACAAAAGTATACCTACTTCATTAGTCGATAAATCGAACGACATTCGATCCTTTTCTTGGCAAAGTCAAGCAAGTTACGACTATTGTAATACTGCTGGTATTTTAGTATGTGTCTAATTCAGTTAATTTAATTTTGTACATATTAAATAAGAAGTATAATAGTATATTTGAGAGATTAATCATCTCAACTACCTGTGTTGTTCTGTAAAAAAAACAGTCCCGAACTAGAAGTTTCGTTTCGAAAAAGATTTCGTTCATATTTATATATGCATATATTATTATTACCTATAAGCGACTATCACGTGACTTAGTCTGTTTTCACAACAATATTAATTCAACAATCTATTAGATAACATGTGACTTATTGCACGTGAATCTGATTTTGATAAAGTCGTCTGTTGTGTTTTTCCGAAATTCTTGTTTGTTATCTATGTCAAGCGTGACAGTCAGGCGCAGTAAGAGATGGAATCCAAAAACAATGAAAATAAATATATCAGATTTACAAGTAGTAAGTTTGAGTCTATTAAAAATAGGTAACTACTTAATGACTTTAAAAAAATCCTTCTTCAATAAAATGCTGAAAGCAACGTAAACACAATTTTATTTTGTAAAAAAGGCGGGATAAAATTAACGTGGTCAATTCATTATTAATATTAGTGTAACATTGCTATAGTTGATGGACCCCTTTAGTCGTTAAATGATAAGTTTCACAAACGAAATAAAATAAATTGTTTTGAAACTATAAACCGAGATGACGAAGAAAGATATAACCTCGAAAACAGTGATCAAAAGAAACGATGCAACGTCGCTCTCTTTATTAAAAAAGTTTTTAATCGTTACAATCAACATATTTAATTTTAGAATAAATTACAAAATGTAAGAAAAATAATACAGAATACAGATTAGCTTCGTGTAATTGTTTTCAAAAAAACTCGAAAACTACTTAGATAATTATCGTGTGGTTTTCACAAATTTCTGTTTATCTACCAACCAACATTTTATTCATTTGCATGCAAGTAGGTACCACGCGCAACTAAACATTTTACAAATAATTATCGGATGTCTAGGAACAATACCTGTTATTAAAAATACATGATATTGGGATAAAGGAACGATTGTTGTAATTATTGTTGGGATAAAAAAAAATAACTTTATTACTTTTAACTGTTTCATTGATTTTTAGGTAGAGGGTTTTAACATTAAAACGGTCACAGATGAAGTTTTGCAAATGCAAAGCCTGAGCGGATTGCTAGTGAGAATATCAGATGATTCATTCCGATTACGGCTTAGATAAATGTAATATATATAGATATTTTATTATCCATAATATTATTATGAGTCACGCTAACAAAATACATTCCAGCGTTACCCATTTTCAACGGGAGAAAGCGTAATTCTCCCAAAATTTCTCGGAAGTGTGACTCATACAAAAACGTTCCTTATTTATCCTGAAACATTCCTTGATGAGTCACATGTTGATATCTCTTTCTGTTCTCTACTGTTCTCGTATCCTGTCCTTGTCTTGATAAGGAAGCTGTTTCTGTCTCACTTCTGTAGTCTAAATTAATATAGTTACGTTTCTTTCTGTCTGATAAATAGTTGTTATGTGTTTGAATGTAGAAATAAAATACAGAATTTTATATTGTATCTACTTGGTTGGGATTTCTTAACAAAATAAACACGTAATATATATCAGAGGTAATAAACATACTACAATAATATACAATTTACTGTTCACGGTAAAGCAATATAACACAATTTCTAAAGATAACTGAGTCACCAAATTATTTAAAAACATAATTATAGTTAAAATATCTTCTGACATATTGTAATAAACAAACATTGTATTAAAACTAAAGAAGTTCTTCGAAGCTGGCCTGCGGTAAAAACCTCATTAATAATAAATTAAATTAAACCGTTTTGTTCTTAATTCAAATATTAATGAATGGCACGCGACAATGTAATGAACGGATGAATGGACACGTGAAAACCAGCGTCAATGAGTCATGCATGCGGCTAAAAGGTATTATGATCTTTATCAAGATAAGCAGAAACGCCATTATAAAATAAAGAAAACAATGTCGGATTTGTGAGTTTTCAAGAATTCGTAAGAAAAAATGTTTATCAAGAAATTATATTCCTTTAAGTAATAGTCTCCATTTCTCAAGGAATAAGTCTCTTTATCGGTTGTGCTGGTTGGAATTTTAATTTATAATTAAAATTTTACAACATATTTTTTTTAAACATAAGAGTTTGCTTTGTATAACAAAACAACATATGCTTTTCAACAGATATCAGTTTAATAGTTTGATGACATGTTTATATAAGCGAAAAATTAAAAATAATAGCTTACTTTGCGTTCATTAAAAATCCGAAAGGAGGAATTTCTATATGGAATTTCTATGTATGTTCAACCGGTTTGTATATTTTTTTATTTGATAGCTATACAAAATATTTATATACTGTACATATAGCAAGTATCACTAAAAATAATACCTTTTTCCAAATAATAGAAGCAACTTCAAACATTCGTCTCGTTTCCCCAATAGAATTATGTTCATAATAATTAATTTTAAAGGCTTTCGCGACTATCATTGGGGTAATATTTTAATCAATAATACACCTTAGTGATAGGATAGCGTCCATTAACTAGTTTACGTGGAAACCCGTACTGATTGTGTTCATAATATAAAAGTTAATGTCAAACGTATGTAAATGTCACAATATGTTTCGGGGAAATATATGATTGGTAACTTTATTAAATCGTTTTATCGATTATTAAATTAGACTTTGTTGTAGAAACAGGCTTTTCTTTTACTTATATTCTATGGATGGCGGATTTATGCCTTGGATGGATTTAAGTAGTACATTCTATATGTCAATCAATATGTATACATAACTTAAAAATGGCGTGAGACCTAAATCTAAGAACAGCTAATAAACTACAGTCACATACACATACAAACAATACAGGGTTTATGAGTCAGGCAATATAAAAAAAAATACTTAATGCAAATTTTTTTAATACAGATTGTTTAAGGTGCTTCGGGCGTTCCAACTGGTAGTGAAACTAGAGTTAATTGGTTATTGTCATGAATATAGTTGATTTGAAGGCAGGGGTGTAACCACACCCATATAAGCTATATCAATGATATTACCGGGGCCCCAACGGCCTGTGTAATTGTATCAACAGCTTCACTATACGTAAATAATGTAATGTTGTATATGTAATAATGTAAACTTTGGTCAAAATGTAAGATTTCAGATATTTTACACCACGTTCAAATATTTTACAAGTACACGTAAGCTTTCAGATATTTTACAAAGTTGGAAATGTGAGAAGGTATTTAGAATAGCAGATTATTACTGCAGTGAAAATTTCTCTAGTGGAAAATTCCTAAACATTGTATATCTGGGTTACCTTGCCGTAGCCTGCCCGCCTGGCCAGTAGAACGCCCAGAATGGATCCTTGAAGGGCAGCTCGTCTTCCGTGGCTTTCCACAGCGGACATATCGGTGTTATCAACCTCAGCACCAGCTCCGGCGTGAGATGGGAACGGGTGCACATCGTGTGTTTCATTATTAGTGGAGCTAACTCCTTAAACATTACACCTAAAACAATAGATATCAAATATTTAATACGACCGACTTGTGAATCCTTCACTAGATCAATAAAGAGATCTAGGATTCGAAAGACTAATTGTTACTGGTCTGATGGAAGATTATTCAGGGCTTCATTAAAGGTGCTAACTTGCGGAAGTTCAATGTGATAATTCAACAACTAGGATATTTAGCATGTTCCACATCTAGTTAGTCGCAATTAAATACCTGAAATATATTTGCGTCAAGGAGAAGAAACGAAAAAAAATTAACTGTCAAAGACGGTTTAATTTTATTTTTGTCTATTTTTTATTTATTTTATTACAGTTTCTGATTATTTGCTGGCTCGGTGATAGTATGTTATTAATGTTAGCTCCACACAATGCCATACTTACGAACAGGAAGACTTCTAGAGACAGTTATAAGCTGCGGCGATTAACGTCATAATGCATTTATTTTATTCAAAAAATCAAAAACATGTTGCTTGTGACTTAAACCGAATATAGCATGTTTATAATTATTTATCTAATTGCTCTATTATGACGCGTAGATTCTAGATTCGCTAAAAAGTAAATGAACAATGATTGATTGTTCAGTAAGTAAGTCAGTAAGTAAGGGAATAACCTCGAACGATTCTAATATGACGATGTATTGGAAGCCGTAGGTATATATTTCCAGACTATTGCTCCTCTGTGTGGGTTCAGTGGACAGCAATTAAAAATGGACAAAAGTGAGGTGAAGAATTTTTGGTCATAGCTTTTTGGTTTGCGACATACTATCGACGGGTCATTGGACTGAATGTTGATCTTACGATTAGTTTGTTTGCTAATGAATCAGGTTTAAATGTACATCTAAACAAAATTATCAATCACCGTAATAAAAATCAAGAAAGAAGTCAATAATTGCTGAGAAAAAACAGCTTTTTTCATTAAATTGTTTTTCTATAAAAAGAAAGTGCTAGTATATTAACAGACGAGTGTAGCGTAATTTTAACAAAATTACATCAATATAAGAAAGAGGTAAAGTTTCTAACTTTGTTTGTTTGTTTGTAGGGGGTAACCTTATGAAATACTAAATTCTTTCAACTACGGGAAGCTACATCATACGCGGCTATAATTAACGCGAGCGAAGTCGTGGCAAAACAGCTAGTAATTTATATGGTGATAAGCTTTAGTGTTACTTAGTGTGAAAGGGAAATATTATATTATTTTTGTCCTAATCGGCTAAGTACATAGTTCAGGCCTTGTGTATAGGTTTCTTGTGTTTATTGCTATTTGCTCTCGGTTTCATTATACGAAGTGTTTAATATACTATTACTGATCACTTTTATGCTTATTATATTTATAATATTGCTTAAATTAATTATTAAAAAGCAAATATTTTATATTCATTACGCGACAGCAAACGGCGCGTGATGTCACGCCCCTCTTACTCGTGAATATCAGAACTTAGAGAATTAAACCTTATGCATAGACTTTAACTTAATAAACGTACGATACTTTTTATATAAGGTGTATTTTTAAGATATATTTCATGTATATCTATAAAATAAAAATATTTAAAAAAAGTTGTGGACACCCCTATTCAAGCCAAATACAAGGTTACGTCCGATACGAACATTGAACAATCGAGATGGTGACCCGGAGACGGAGGCGGATGGTTGTGAAATTATATTGAAAAAGTCCGTGTTCTAACATGCATAAACCCAATTACAGGACTTTCCTTCCAGTTCCCGTTGGCGTAAACGGTAGGTAATTAATAGAATGTAGCAAACTTTTAATTTTGCATATCGTGATATGTTAATGAATAAGTAAGTAACAATTAATTCTAATAATTTATGTAAATTTCAGATGTTTTTGAGATCGAAGTAAAATAGAAGAAAACAAAGACCATACTCTTGTACATTGATCTGTCTGAACGCGATAAATACAAAAAAACAGGAATGTTTGTTCATATAGTTTTCAACAACGGATGAAGTTTTCGTAAAGGTTCCGTGTAAATTGGATTTCGACGGTGATTTAATTATTTTAGCCCGAATAAATTTAGAACCAATAAAAGCTCTATCTGTATAATATGACTCCCTACTATACCCATAGGTATGTACCATATTTTCCAGTGTTTCACAACATTGTGTCAATTTGCAAACAACTACGCACGAACCGCTTGATCTTCAATAATCTTATTTATGTAAAGAGCAATAACACAATCACCTGAATCTGTTTATTTCACAAAAGTTCGTAAGTGTGTCAAAGCCACAACACAAGCGGGCGTTCCCTCCTCGATATAGAAATTACTTGACGTCAACAGACTGGTTTGACTTAAAAACATTGCGTCTGAGCAACTAAACTGCACACAAATATAGATGCTGTGCTTCACACGTCGATATGAGTTATATGTGTGTATAGTTCAGGGCTGTGAACACATTCGCACAGTCATTTTTAGATCCCTTTCGACTCGATTAAGGAGATGGCAACGTTCGATTAAAATTTACAAAAGCAAAGACATTCTTTATAAGCAAGTGACCTCACTGTAGAGACGATTGGAAAGTAACAATACACGTAAATTTGTTATGATCAATCTCTGTAAGTGGGTAGCCCTAGTTCCGTGACCTTCCACAGTTGATATTGTGCGATGTTGAGTAACACGCAGAAGGTTAGGGTCAATGACTGTGTGACGTAGTGATATTACTTTGCAACACGACAGTTCGGCACGTGCTGGCACGACTGGCGCCTTTACCCACCATGCAAACGTGCAGTATATTTATATAATTAATTAAATTATTTCCATAACAGTTAAAGATTTATTTGACTCAAAGTTGACACTATACGTTCAACCTTAAATTAAAATTATGCTCAGTTAATGCAATGCTTATATGAGTCGACCTATCTATATGTTACCGCTCCAATTCTTGATGAGTTGCTTGTCTGTTAAAAAAAATAGATAATAAATCCCTATACATACAGTACTTTAACGACTTGTACGTGTTGATAAGCGTCTGACATTCTTTTTTCTTTAACATACTTTGAAAGTTTCTTATCTATGTTTTATCAAATTACTTTGACTGAAATATTCTTCTATACGTAGTAAAAACGTAGTTGTTTTCCGCTGTCTGTACGCTGAGATCTTCAAAATTTTAATGTGGTTTTCATCAATTCACAGAGTGATTCAAAAGGTAGATTAACAATAGGTTTATGTGTATAATACAGGACCAAACGAGCGAAGTCGCCGGCGGAAAGCTAGTATTAGATAAATCTTGCAATCATTGATATTTAGATTTAACTTACAGAAAATAGTATTTATTCTTCGACAACGCTATGAGTGAAGCTAGAACTTAGAACGTCGTAACTCATAATAAAATTCTAAAACTGTAGCAATAAATTATAATTTAAAGTGTATTATCCACACACTGATCTCAAAATTACCGAACGCATTTTCAAGTGGTTTTCACAAATGGCCAGAATAATTAACGTATGATTCATTATTGGAGGTTGGAGTAACTTACTGCGACTAAGTTACTTCAACTTCCAATAATGAATCATTATATTTATTATGATTGTTGAAAAATATGTGAGAAATAAATGTTAACTTAAAGCCTGTTAATAGCTAATCTCGCATAGATGCAGGAACATTAACAAAATCTTAATATTTTATAGAAGTATGATAAAGCAAACTACTGGACTTTTAAAAAAATTCTTTCATCTACGGGAAACCTTAAGGACTATAATTTATGCGGACGAAGTCAGGGAAAACAGCTAGTAAGGAATAAATGTAAATGAACAGATAACCACGAAAAAGATTCTATTTGTTGACGTCTTTAAAATAACTAAGTTGATATAATTTTGCAATCTAGACTTTACCGGTAATACTGAAAAGATGGCTTTGGAAAATTTACAACGTTTGTCCATGAGTGGAGTTTTTACAGTTTGAAATTTACAAAGTCGTAAGTAAATAATTTCCTATAAACTTAGTAAATTTGACCGTAAAGCGTTCGAGTGAAGGTTGATAATCACTTGATGTTTTTGATAGCAGATAGTAGAGGAAAATTATCTTATGAATACGATTATGATGTGGAAAAATAACTTTAAGGAAAAACTTTGTGGGTTTTGTGTCCGATATAATTATTTTGTTAGGATTTACCCGCCACCTCGCTCAACTCGTAAAAGTCGAATCAGCTACATCTACTATGTAGGCTAACGACTACTATTATTTCATGTGTTAGCTAAAGTTATGAGGGCATGTCGAGTAATTTTTTAATGAGTACACCTCTGGGGGCCAATTCCACTAAATAATTTTGTTTATATCGAATCCAAATCGGATCGAAACCGAACGAAACTACAGTTTTTAAAGGTTTTCCTATTCTACAATACAAAGTGACATACGATACAATTCCAGGGGGCCAATTCTACTAAATAGATTTTGTTTAAATCGAATCGAAAACGGATCGAAACCGAACGAAACTACAGTTTTTAATTGTTTTTCCAGTTCTATTTTAGCTGGAATTGTATCGTATGTCACTTTGTAGAATAGGAAAACCATTAAAAACTGTAGTTTCGTTCGGTTTCGATCCGTTTTCGATTCGATTTAAACAAGATTTATTTAGTAGAATTGGCCCCCAGTTCTATTTTAGCTGGAATTGTATCGTATGTCACTTAGTAGAATATGAAAACCGTTAAAAACTGTAGTTTCGTTCGGTTTCGATCCGTTTTCGATTCGAATTAAACATAATTTATTTAATAGAATTGGCCCCCTATCCTTTGTGACACTCCACAACTCCACTGCCGTTCGTCATGCGGCATTATTCCTTCAGTCATAAAGTTAAAGACATGAGGCAGAATTACCCGTAAAACTTAAAACTAGGAAAAGATGCTCAAAAAAACCTTATATATTCTGATGTTGGATCTCCAGGGAAGGGATGCCCACCAAACGAAAGGGTAAAAGCGGGCCTAATTCAAGGGACTTATGGGATAAGAGTTTAATTTATATCAGTTTGGTTAAAATAGCGATAAGTTTTGCAAACTATAATTGACCTTGAAAACCAGCCCCATTATCGATACTATATCAGCTATTTTATTGATAATAATAATTATAATTGAATAGGATTACCGATTGCTTTATTTATTTTTAATTAGTGATATTGACACGGGAGATAATTAAGATATTTCGACTGACTGCCACAATTAATTTATTTATACATATATTTATCCAATATTTTCGTAACAATCTAGAAAGAAAAAGTATTATCTGCATGTTGTATAATGTTAATGAAATCGGTTCAGTTGTTTTTGAGTTTCCATTACAAAGACACAAAAAAAATTTCTTTACTAAAATATTAATTAGTAAATAAAACAAAATATACCCTCACTTTATTACTAGCTGTTTTCACGTTACTTCGCCCGCGTAAATTATTTAGCTTCCCGTAGGTGAACGAATTTTCATTATCTGATAAGTATTTTCGAAAGATTACCCCTTTGTAAGTGTATTTATTGATTTTATTTTTAACATTTAGGGACATCACACAATCGTACTTAATTAATACAATGGAATATGTTACCAAATGTCCTAGAAGTAATATATATTTTATTAAGGAACGGGTGCGTAATTAAACATTAAAACAAATTATTGACCAGTCGTTCATTCCATAACAATCTCTATATTTACGAGGTGTGAATTGTACGTGTCCACAAGTCGACGGAGACGCGTTTGTTCCATATCTCGATGTGTAAAACAAGTGTGGTCCTCTTGCCTCTCGTCTCAATGCCTTCCTTGTTACAGTATAACATACATATCGACGCTGGAAAGCAAACACGTAGTAACCCGCAAAACCAAACTTTTTCTTCAGAGCAGAAAAACTTTTTTTTTTATCGATAAATAATTCCTATAAAAGTCCATGGTAACAAAAAAGGTGTTCCTTAGACAATTTATATGGAAATAAGACTTCTTTTTTTGAAAAATATAAATATTTTCCTCTCCGTATGTTCATTTTGGTTTTGCAGGTTACTACGTGTTTGCTTTCCAGCGTCGATATATTGTTTGTGAGACTCATCTGTTAGGTATTACATATACCGTGCAACATCACAACCATAAATAAATTTCGTATGGATTCCAAGAATATGCTGATAAATAAATACAGTACTGAGATAATTATAAACTCTGTAACTAATGATAATATTTACCGTTATAATTAATAACCTTCTTTCTATTAATAAGTATAAAAATCTATCAACTTAGTAATTAATTTCATTCAGTAGTTGATAACTTATCCATGATAATAAGCACCTCATTCATTTTTCATGTCATTCCATTTTTATCAACTTAAAACTCTAATTTTAGTAACGGATATACAGATATCAATCTTAAATACAATAGCCACTTGAATAACACCGATGGACAGACGAGATAAGCTCGCAATCATATCGTTTCTCGGTATTTATTAGCAAAACAAAACAGTGATATTTGATAGTGTCGTTTATCAATTTTCATGTGAATTTCGCTCGATATATAGATCGTGGTGCCAGCCGCCGATGTCGCTACATGGAACCGTGTCCGTCTGTTTGTCGCCTTCTGTAACCGCCTACTTTAACAATAATGACATGAAAATGAAGTATAGTGCAATCGTTACATAATGGTATAAAAGACGTCCACTAAATCCATGGCGAGATATCAGCTAAAAAAAATTGTTCATTTTCATTCCCTTGCAATTATGTTTATGGTCAAAATTTAACCAATGAACAATGAAATTGAAAATCTTTGAAAAATCTGCAGGTAATACAAAATTAAACCAATAATATAAAATGCGAAAACAGACTAAAACTTTGTTTAGTTCTCTATTAATTTTCATGCAATTTAAGACACAATTGTAACATGGCTTTCTTTACTTGTTCTGACAATATTTTTAAATAATAGCTAATGTTTACTCATAATTTTCTGTTCTTGAAAAATATGTAAAAAAAATATATAATATTTTTTTCAGTTAAAATCAGCCTAAAAGATAATTATTAAACTTATTGTACAACACACAATGATATATTAAACAATATCAATTGACAACACACAACATATATAGTATAAAATCATAACTGTACAGTAGAGCGCCTTTGGCGACTTCTACCAGGCAACCTATATTTTAAGAAGATAATTAAGGCAACACAAATTTAGACCAGAAACAATTATGACAAAGCAATGCTAATAATGTTAAAAACAGTTATGCCTTCTTATATGTAGCTTAAAACATGTAGCTTATATTTAAAACTTCAGTAGATAATTCCAAAATTATTTCAATTCCTAGCCATTTCATACCGACTACATAACTTTCATTG